TTCCCACCTACCTCCCCTTTTATTATCATCTTTCTATTTTCACAAAAGAAAGGCACATCTCTCACCAGCTGGTGTCTTATCAGGGTGCCCTGAGTTTAGATAGAAAAACATCTGAAAAACAAAGGGGTGATTTGAAGTATTGTCTAATTGTTGAGACAACAAATGGCTGACATGACTGGGCAACAGATTTGACTGCAAGCCAAATAGTTTCCAATCTTTTGTATTCAATACAAGTGACAGAAGATCTAATAGAGTTGTCATTTGAAAAATTACCAAAAACATTTTGTTGATAATGACCTTTATGTGATTTTTTGCTTATAACTATGGAGAACTAAGTGACATTGCCATAACAAATCCCTTTGTATTCCCACCTACTTAAGGTTTTTTAAACAAAGGGATAAGGATAGCATCTATAAAAAAGAGCAGAATCTATAACAAAATGATCAGGGAGGAAGCCACAATGAGCCTGTTCAATTCAACTCATTTAACTGAACCAAAATACTTCTTAAAGTTAGTTTGTAAGTATTTAACAGGAAGGTGACTAGCAACTACTCAATTTGAATTCAAATATTTAATGACTTTTCAAGTATGAAATTCTCTCTGAAAAAGACCCACTTTTGGGGCCAGCATTGTGTCTCAGCGTATTAGGCCTCCATTTGCTATGCCAGCATCCCATGTATAAGTGCTGATCCAAGCCCCAAAAGATGGCCCAATTACATAGACTCCTGCCACCCATATGGGAAACCAGGATAGAGTTCCTGGCTCCAACCTGGCCCAGACCTGGCTGTTGCCACCATTTGGGGAATGAACCAGAAGATGGGAAATTTCTCTCCCTCTCTCCCTCTCTCTCTTCCCACTTCCCAGTCCCCACACAGGATGCTCTGCCTATCAAATAAATAAATCTTTAAAAAAAGAAGAGAGACATCTTTGTTGGTGAGAATGGAAACAGACAGACTAGTGTGCACTCGAGCCGTACAAAGTGCTTCGTTGGGGGCAAGTATTTGGCACAGAAGTTAAGATGCTGTAAATTAGGACACCTGCATCTCATATCAGAGTATTTGGGTTCAAGTCCAAGCTCCACTTCTAATTCCTGCTTCCTGCTAATGTACAGCCTGGGAGGCAACAGGCGATGATTCCAATACTTGGATCCCTGCCACCTACACGAGACTTGGAAAGACTTCTGGGCTTCTGGTTTCAGCCTGGCCCAGTCTCAGCTTCTGTGTGCATTAGGGAAGTGAACCAGCAGGTGGAGGAGCACTCTTTCTCTTTCCCTCTTTCCTTCAAATAAATAAAAATAAATAAATGATTTTTAAAAGGTGCTACCCTGTTTGGCAGCTAAGGAGGAAAAGACAATGCATGATATTGGAGAGATCACTGACACTCATATACATGGCAAGTTTGTCATGTAGTTGCTTTTATATCGACATATTTTCTAACAAATGACAATTTCATTTACAGTATAGTTTACTGTCCCTGTGGTGAGAAGGTACTAAGTTACCAGGTAGTTCTACTAGGAAGGCTTTATTCATTTTTACCCCACTTCACTGTCTTCTACAAAAACACAGCTTCACATCAAGAAGCTATAAACTAATAAGTGAACACAACCCAAAAAAATGCTGCTAAACCATTGAACAATCTTCCAAAACACTAGCTCCTGACGTGGTTTTCTTGTCATAAACAATAATATTCCTCGTTCTCCTTTTCTCAAAGGAAATTCACAGGTGAGTCTGAGCGTCTCTGCTGAGAGCCACTGCACAGGAAGCCAGCTTCACGTGGGTTCGTGATGATACTCGGACAGAGCCAGAAGAGCCGCATCATCTCCTCCTCAGGCGTGACTGACGAGTATCAAATCCCCATGCCACCTCCAGGACTAGCGCACAACCCACAAACACACATACACAAATGCGACGCGGGTGAGGTTTAGCAAACTACGGGGACTGTAAATTGAAATTTTCCACTCTAAAACAATTTCATTAGAGATGGCAGTGCCGGAAACGGTATTTTAGAGTTGATTCCCACCAAATTATGCTGCAGCTCAGATACAAAGTCTCTATTATCTTTGGCAGAAGTTTTTAAGACTATTTTTATTTACTGCAAACTCTGAACAAAGCACAGACCCTTTGCAATTGTTACATGAAGGACTTTGTGCTGTCATCAAGTAAGCAGTGGAACTCTAAGGAGGCACCAAGAGGAGGCATCGAAACATCATCTATGGATTGATAGAATTTTAGCAATTTAAAATTTCTGTTTTATTGAACGACTTTAGTTTATTACTGCTTTATTCTTAAAATGTAAGAAGTGCAAACTGCTTCAGTAATGATGGAAAAGCCTCCTCAGCTTTAATGAAATCTTTTATTTGCTACTGAAAGTTTTATTCTTTCCAAATGGTAACAACAGGCAAGAAAAATAATTACTGCTTTTATCTGAGGGTAAACAATTTCAAGAGTTTAGTTCTTGAGTGAATTTTAAGGCATTTAGATTTGTTTATATTTATGCTTATTGTTTTCATTTACGTTTGCTGAAGTAAACACAATACACACACATATATACACTATTACAAAAGTGTTCTCGAATCACATACCAAAACACCAGATAGTTACATACAGCTATACAGCATGAGCTTGGTCTAATGTGGATAAGAATTTCTTTGTGCTTAGCTTCTTGCCCATCTCACCTGTTGACCACGTAAGGGAGGCACCAGAGTGTGATGGTTAAGGGTACAGGCTATGAAGCAGCACCACCTAGGTTTCCATCCCAGCCCCGGCCCTTCCTAGCCAGACAACCTTGAGAAATTCTAGGTCTTCAGTATCCCTGTCTGTGAAAACAAGAATAGCTAGCCCCTGCCCTATGGAATGGGTAAGAAAGTTCAATGAAGTATGTCATGTAAAATATTAGAATAAATGATGACACATGAATCACCTAAACTATTTATCTCTACCATGATTGTCATATGTGAATGCATGCACCTCTAGCCTGGATGCACCATCAGGTGATACTTTATCCAACAAACAGCTGTTCAGCACTGTCCTAGGTACAGGGGTGACAAAGATGAAGAAGATATGATGTGGGGCCCGGCACTGTGGCACAGTGGGTTAACGTCCTGGCCTGAAGTGCTGGCATCCCATATGGGCACCGGTTCTAGAGTTCTAGTCTCAGCTGCTCCTCTTCCAATCCAGCTCTCTGCTGTGGCCTGGGAAAGCAGTGGAAGATGGCCCAAGTCCTTGGGCCAGCACCCACGTGGGAGACCTGGAAGAAGCTCCTGGTTCCTAGCTTCTGATCGGCGCAGCTCCAGCTGTTGCGGCCAATTTGGAGAGTGAACCAGCAGATGGAAGACCTCTCTCTCTCTCTCTGCCTCTCCTTCTCTCTGTGTGTAACTCTGACTTTCGAATAAATAATCTTTAAAAAAATAAGATATGATGTGTAACCTTTAAGAACTCACCATTTTAAAGCAAGATATTTGTTACCATTTCGATGTCTTTCTGAAGGAGGACCATGAAGCATACCCTTTCATTAAATCACAAATTTTCCTTTTTCCCCTTGTGTTTAGAACTAATAGAGCTTCAGAAAAATTTGACTTCAGTTACTGAAATCTTAATCATGCACAATTTAATAAGCAGCTACAGGTTTTTCCACATTTTAAAATAGATGATTAAATGGTCTAATCAGATTCTAACTTAGCCAAAAACTTGAAAAACATAGGAAGACAGCCATGACTGACACATTCATTTTCTTGAATGCAGACATACTGCAAACAGCAGCTGCAGAAAAATAGCATTTTTTACACCCACATGACCCCCAGAGAATGAAAACTGCACAGGAGTTCAGTATCAAAACGTTAAAGCACCTAAACTAAATTCAATTTGAGATAAAATAAGAAGCTTGTATATTCATAGCTTCATCACTTTCCAAAAAGTTCTGAAACTGACGCCCAAGACAACACCTTATATGGCTTCATTTTTTTTCAAACATTTTTGTTTATGTCGCTACACTCAGAGAATTCATTAAAAAGTAAGATATTCAAATTTGACTATAAATTCCAAACACAATGAGTAATGTGGTATTTCAGACATCACAAACTCGAAATGATCTTAAATATGTTGTCCTCTGTAATTTTCTGCTCTTGAAAATGTGCAGTAAATGCAATTAAAAAGGGAATCGGCTTCAAATTAGTTGCAAGATCAACTAGGGTATTTATCTGCTTACTGGATGTATCATAATAAAAACCCATCTAATATGCATTGCATTGTTTAATTCACATGGAAATTGGATATTTTCCTTTCCAATAAAAGAGTAGAGATCATTTCCACCTCCCCAACAATAGATAATGACTGTGTTAACTTTCTAGAAGAGATTAAATATTGCCAGGGTAAGTCTTCAGAGGAGTCCTTCCAACCTATGCCTCAACACATAGGCACCCAACCCCTTTCTCCTGCTTTCCTTTGCCATAACCTCTTCCTCAGGCACAAGACTCTCAAAAGACCTTTACTGTCCTTCTGACACTGGACAAATAACAATCCTGAAATAAGGGCCCACCCCTCAATGAAACCTCCCTCTGTGTTGACCAACTCACACCTCCTTTCTATGCAAGCTGCTACGTGAGGATTTCTCTTTCAGTGTCAAATCTCCAAACGAATGCATATTTTGGTAACCTCCACTTTTGCATTTAAACACATACGTTCCACACCACGGGATCCTCTTGATCCCAGCTAACATCCCCTGTCTAAAGTATTCGGTTTTCACATCCAGTTTTTTAATCCTTCCAGGATGAAAATTTCAAAAGCGGCGAACGTCGGTGAAAGAAGAGAAGGGGAGGGAGGAGAGACGCTGCCTGGATTAATGCCATCCTCACTACCACCCAGATCCGTATTATTTTTTCTGTCTCCCCAGCCCTCCCTCTCCTCCCGCCTCGCCTGGTCTCTCCGCTGCAGGAGGGAGGAGGAGGGGCCTCTGTCTGAAGCTGCCACCTGCCGCAGCATGGAAGAGCTCCAGTTGTCACTTACCCAGCAGGGTGAGAATGGCTCATTTTTGCAGGATCCCTTTAGGCCCCGTGGCAGGTGCGGCCGGTGGGTGCGTGGGGCCGCGAGCGCGCTTAGTGACGCGACAGTCGCACTCGCGGCTGGCTCCGCAGTGCGGTCGCCTGTACGCGGGGCACCTGGGCTGTGCCGCCGCGGCCCTGGGTACCCGGCTACCCGCAGCCTCCTGGGTCCCCACCCGCAGGCCGTATCCACCGCCCGCCGGTTGCTAAGGGAGGCGGAAGGCAAGCGCCGAGGGCCTGGCGAAGAGGAGGCGCTGCTGGAAAGGAGCCTGGGGAAGCTGGCGGTGCAGCCTGCTTGCATCCCTTTTCTCTAGGCCCCTATGTGGGTGGAGACACAGCCAGGCCCCCTGCACTGTTACTCTGGGGCGCGGGTTCCCCAGGCACCTGTAACCTGAAAACACAAACACACCCACACACGCCTGCACCCGTTCTGGCTGGTGTGCTTTCAGCTAGGCCCTGGGGGAGGAAGAAATGGGTGGCAGCTGCGGTACTAGGAGGAAAGAGTAGCCACAGACCCTGGATTAGAAAATGCAAGGTGGTAAATGAGAGTTCCTTTCTCAATCCGCTGTGGGTTTTGAACTTGTTTCTGCACCGGTAAGGCATTGCAGTCGGCTCCTTTCCTCCTTAGAAAATCCGCATTCTTGCTGCTAGCTAAGGTCCCCACTCCCAAGAGGCAGACTGCCAGCCCCCATGTTCAGAAGGTGGGAGCAAAGCACAGAGAGTGTATTAAAATCCAGTGTGCAGACGGCCAGGCATGGCCCAAAGCCGGGACTGAAATGAGAGGGCCTTGGTGAGGAGGCAGTTTAAGCAGAGGATCCAGATGACCTGCTCCTGTTGCTGTCCTTGCATCCTCTGGTTTTTTGCTGGTTGACTTAATCTCTGGCCTCAGGTGCAGGTGAAGAGTTGAACACATCAGTGGTGACAGAGCTATCTGTGCATCTCTGCTCTGTCTCAGCCACACTCAGAGGTGGGTAGGGCGTGACCTCGTTAATTGCATTCTGCTCACATTGTAAAGGCCCACTGAGCATGACAGAGCCCAGTCTCCTTAGCCTGATGTTTAAAGTGCTTCACCAGCTGGCCCCAACATCCTTCATCAGCCTCATTTTGACCACTTTATCGCTACTACCTGAAACTCTAGCAAAGCCAAGCACTTGCACTAGCGGCCTTTTGGGAACCTATCTCTACCATTGAATACCCGGAAAACTTGTATTCATTCAACACTTTCTTCATAGACTGCTGCCTTTGGCATCAAGTGTGCTGATACCTCTGGCCTCTGGAGCCCAGTGTGCCTGGACATACCTCTGTTTTATACTCCCAGCCCCCACCACACTGCACTTACTGGTAGTCAAGGCTATTTTCAACTTGAATGTGAGCACTTTTATTTTGCACATCTATTTTATTTTTCTATATTCTCAGAAGCAAGCAGCAATTCAACAAATGTTTGGAGCTTAAATGAAGGAAAAATAAAATCTGCTCTAAACAATAGCATTTGTTGAAAACTTACTAACTGCTCTCTGCAGCCTTTTATTGAAGACTTACTGTTCATTACGTCAGTTAGTCTTCACCTCTGCTCCATGAGATAGGTTTTCCCCTCTATTTCACAGGCAAGGTCTACAATTACTCCTAATGGAAAAAACTAGGATTCAGATTCAGACGTGATTCCCAAGACTGTGTGTGTGTGTGTTTTTTTTTTTAACAATTATGTGCAATGAGACTCATTTCCCCAGAGCCCCTATAAATTGCCTCAGAAGTCGAATATCCTGTGCCATTCGAGTTTTCAGAGCTGCAAGGCTGGAGACATCCTGAGAGGAGAAAACATAGGAGGCTAGCTCAAGAGCTTAGATCCTAAGCCTTAAGGATTCAGGGCTACTTTGAGAACCAGACAGCTAGAGCTCGAAAGAGACCGAAGCTGTGTCTTTCCCCTAAGTGACTGCTCCCACTGACTGTGCATCCCATTTGAGGTTGCCCTCTATGCTCATTGTAACAGGATCTCACCTGGATAAAAAGCCCCAAGTGGCGGCGGGGGAGGGGGAGCAGGATGAGAGAGACTAGCAAGAAACATTGTAATTTGCTCCAGGTACTGCCAATCTCTGAGAATAGCATAAATAATATAATCTTATATAGGTACTAGTTATTACATATAATTGTTTTTTGCATATAAAAGATATTCTCTCACTAGCAGATGAGAAAGGAAATTAAAATACACTATTTAAATACTCAGGATTCTGTAGAAAAGATTCCCTGGCACTCTGCAGATAGTGAGGTACTCTCAACAGCATGCATTAATTCATAAATGGGGTTTGAGTTCTCCACCCCTGTGAGCTGCACAATTTCACATCCCTGATGAAAACTGCAAGGAAGCTACTAATTTTCACTTCAGAAAATGCTCACTGTGAAAATGTATTGGGAATTTAGCCAGAAGGAATTTTTATGTTAATTTCTTGTATGGAGATAGGGAGAGGAAATAAAGAAAAAAACTAAATTAAACTGTTTCAAGACCAAATAGTCACTGGAGTCATTTTCATTTTCTCACAGGAAAACAAGCCCCCAGATGTCCCCAGTGGTATCATACATTTATAAAAAGATTTTCTGTTTTGTAGAAAGCACTGTGGAGTGGGACTTTGGGTCAGGAGATCAAGAGAAGTAGAAGAGAGGGAAGACAAGGATTCCACTTGCAGTGTTGCCTGGCTCTCCACTTTGGGTGAATAGGAGCAGGACTTAGCAATCACAAGTTTCAGCTATCATCGATCAGTCTCAGATCAAGGGTGGGCAATCTACAACTTGCCAGCTAAATCCAGCCTATCGCCTGCTTTTCTACAGCCCACAAAGATAATGGTTGCTAGACTTGTAGATGCTTGGGGAAAAAAAAAAAGCCAAAGGAAGAAAATTATATGATAAGTGAAAAATTCACTTTTCAATATTTATAAATAAGGTCTTATTGGAATGCAGCCATGCCCATTTGTCTGCAAATCATCTATGGCTGCTTTTGCACAAAAAGAGCAGAGTTGAATAGTTGCAACAATGATGTATGACTCAGGAAATTTTAAAAATTTACCATCTTTCTCTTTCCAGAGCAAGTTTGCAGATTCCTGGCCTATGTCTTCACCATCATTAGTGAGGTAATGGACTTTGTGAGCAGGTGCAATCACCTTTCACCCTTGTATCCCCAATGCCTAGCACAGTGCCTCTCAAAGTAGGTGCTGAATGCATAAGCAAATGAAGCACTGAATGAATTGAAACAAATATGTTTTTTCATGTGTTTATTTTATTCCTGAAGGATAAAGGTCAGGGGCTATCTCTGTGGCATGGCAGGTAAAGCCACCACCTGCTCCACCTGCATCTCATAAGGGCACCAGTTCAAGTCCTGGCTGCTCTACTTCCAATTCAGCGCCCTACTAATGCACCTGGGAAATCGGGAGAAGATGGCCCAATTGTGTGGTCCCTGGCACCTATGTGAGAGACCCAGAAGACACTCCTAGCTCCTGGTTTAAGATTTGCCCAGTTCTGGCCATTGTGGCCAGTTAGGGAGTGAACTAGCTGATGGAAGACTTCTCTCTCTCAGTGACTCTGCCTTTCAAATAACTAAATAAATCTTCAATACATGAATAAATAAACATCCGATAACCAAGACTTTCTTTCCAAATGTAATCTCCAAGGCATTTAAGAGATCTTTTAAGGTTTCTACTCCATTATAGGCCCAGTGCACCAGGGCCTTGCATAATGCTTTGATGTGACTCAGCATTGCTTCATTTTATCAACACTTGAGAAAACTCCAATGTGATGCAGATGGGGGCTATGTAAGCCTTTCATCAGGACATGGTCTGTTGTACACATGGTTAAGTTCGCAGGAGTGATTCCCAGTACTTTAGATCCTCTGGTGTTGGCTTGGGTTGAGAAGCTAGAGAATGGAAAATCAACGTGCAAGGACTTAACTTGAAGTCATTGAAAAAGTGATTCTATGCTCTGAAGTTGTTTTCCAGCTGCAATGGTCTGACAGTTCCTTCCTCCCTCAAATTCATGTGTTGAACTTAATCACCAATGCATTAGTATTAAAAGGTATGGATCTTTGGGAAGTGATTAAGACAGAAGGGCAGAACCTCTTGGATGGGATTAGGGCTTTTATAAAAGAGCATGGGGCGTGGGTTCACTGCATTCCATCCCTTCTGCCTTGTGAGGACACAGCACCCCACCTTGGAAGCATAGAACATCCATCACCAGTAACCAAACATGCCAGCACTTTCATCTTGGATCTATGAGAAATAAATGTCCATTGTTTATAAATCACTCAGTCTGGTATTTTCTTATAGCCACACAAACAGATGAAGTCTTTTTTATTTTTTAAAGATTAACTTATTCATTTGAGAGACAGAGTTACAGACATAGAGAGAAAGAGAGAGACAGAGAGAAAGGTCTTCCATCCGTTGGTTCACTCCTTACATGGTCGCAACAGTAAGAACTGGGGGATGCGAAGCCAAGAGCATGGGACTTCTTCTGGGTCTCCCATGTGGGTCCTGTCTTCCCATTGGGTCATCTCCCATTACTTTCCCATGCCATAAGCAGAGAGCTGGATGGGAAGAGTAGCAGCTGGGACAGGAACTGGCACCCATATGGGATGTGGGTGCTGCAGGCAGAGGTTTGGCCTACTATGCCACAGTGCTAGCCCTGAGGCCTTTTCTAATAAGCCTAATTTGAGTGAGCCATTCAGTGAAGCCTGACATTAGATATAGGAAAGGCTGAAAGGACATTTAAAATGGATAGAGTGACAAACTGAAAGGGACATCCCTAATTTAGAATTCTGAGTAACCTGGATAGGTAATGTGTCTTCAAATCTTCTGTCCCTCCCTCTGGGGTGGATCAAATCTTCAAACAGATCAGTTGGAATGGAGGCAGCCAATGGACTTATTTAGTGGCTTTAGGAAATCATTGGCACTTACTAGGCCTGAGTTTCAAAGAGAAATACAACTCTTGCTTTTCTTCAGACTTTAAGTCTGACAAAGCAAAATGCTAACTGCTGAGATGAAAGAATATATAAGGGGCCCACCCGTGTTATGGCCTAGTAGGTAAAGCCACTGCCTGTGATACCAGAGTCCCACATGGACACTGGTTCATGTCCTGGTGACTCCACTTCTGATCCAACTCCCGGCTTATGGCCTGGGAAAAGCAGTGGAAGATGGCCCCTGCTACCCACATGGGAATCTGATTGAAGTTCCTAGCTCCTGGTTTTGGCCTGGCCCAGTTCTGGCAGTTGCCGCTATCTGGGAAGAGAACCAGTAGATTGAGGATCTCTCTGTCTCTCCAC